GTGTGTGTGTGTGTGTGTGTATCTTGTTATATATATATATATATATATCTATATCTATCTGTCTGTCTGTCTATCTGTATATATATATATATATATATATATATTAACTTTTCAGTACATATTACGGCCATGTTCGATCTATTCAAAGCACGGCTATTGAAAAGATCGTAGACTTTAGAAGGATTGCAATGATGATATATACCGCACTGATATAAATATACATATGGTGTTTATATCTACACTCCGATTGCTAAAAATAGACTACCTATGACTAGTACTACTCGCAAAGTCACATATCTAAGTACCAATTAACTCGTGACATCTTCAGATGATGCGCACGCATATGAAGATACATAATATTTCGACGGCTATAGTTGTCCAACGAAAACATGACAACTTAAATAGCCCTATCATACACTATTGTATGTTCACAGCTGAATGACGTCGTTATTTTACCTGGCCGACTGAACATGATGGTGATATCCTGTCCATCACTCAGACCGTAAGGAACACTTGTGTCTGTATTAGATGGTAAAAATTGCTGCACTGTCAGTGGAAACTCCTGAGTGACCGTGAGCGCTTGAGCGTTGGCTTGCATAACTCTCAATACACTCATAGTGCACAGGAGTGTAAGCAGCCGACTTATGTGAGTGGAAATCATTCCGTAATATGTATTCGCGAAGACGTATGTATTGCTCCTCCAGTGTTCCAAGTTGGCGGCACACACAGAGGAATCTGTATTTAGCAAACAATGGTATAAACTATCGCGCAGTAGAGATACTAAACCTACTGTTGGTATGAGTATTATGATTGTGAGAAGTAACTTCTTAATCTGCGAAGGTTCATATCTAGCACGCTCTAATAAAACTTCTTGTGCACTAAACGTGACAAACAATGACCACAATCTCACAGCGACGTCTTTTTATATACCGTACATGTAAAAGATAGTACATAGGGTGTATATAATACATATACCGTAAAACACAATTTAAAAAAAATATTTGATAACTCATGACTCATCGAGTATATAGCACTTTTTTTTTAAGAAATAGATACAGAGATAGTGACAATTCTTTTCTTTTTCAAGAACAATATAAATTATCTACTGCCGATTAGCCGTGAACTTTTATATAGACTTTTTTTTGCAAAACCAAAGAACCTTCTTGGAGTTGTGAACGTAAACGATAAAATGTACCCACTTTTCATTGGCTCTTTAAATTTGTATCGACTTCGTCGTATAAATCTCAATCCGCAGAGGCACAGTCTCGCCCTCGGACGGCTCAGAGTCCCGAGTCTCCTCTCAAAGATTCGGACTCTTACAGAGTCAAGACCCTTTTTTAACCCTCAGCAGAGTCAGGACTCAGCAGGCCCGGCTTCTCTGAACGGCGGACTCCCGGAGTACCGGAGCTATGTGTGGTGGTTTTGTCGTGGAGATCTCTCTCATGTGACTTGTGACTTGTGACTAAATATAGATCATCATATGCACACTGCACAGTGTGGTCATTTGTCGCAACTCGCACACATCAGAGTGATCAGACGCACATTCCCTCTGAGGGCTGAGGGCCTCACCCTGACCTCTGAGGCCCTGATCTCTGTCGAGGTATTTTTATTTATCTGAATTTTTTAACTATATGTCAATTCCATGTGTGGTACAGTGACTGCATTTTCATTTTTCTGAAGTCGCAGCTCGAATTTCGATTAAAACCTTGAAATCTATATTTTAAATTATTATACTGCTTGCCATTCTACCAAAAGCATCCTACGCGTGTGAGCGACACTCGTTTCTCCAGCCGTAATTCCGAGTAGATGGCTGTAAATAGTGACTAATATGGTAGACAACCAATGCGATAAAAGTAGGCTTTCATGGGATCTATAGCAGTATCTCGGCTGCCAATTCAACCTCGTCAGTACATTGTGATAGCAAATAAGGAACAATTCATTCATGCGATGTGAGAACTCTTTGATCATACGCAATAAACTCGTTCGTCGCTTAAACCACGCTGAAACCTCCTATCTCAAGATCATTGTAATTATCTGATCACGTCTATTGTGTGCAAAATACGATACCTCAAACTTTATGCATGCTCATTTGGGTATTCGCCACTCTACAGAAGCTACGAGCCTTTATAGTGATACAAAAGTACTGTTATCGAAATGAGCTAGCAAACTACGTAATATCCAGGTTGATCTACGTATTCTCGGCCGAAATCAACCTCGATAGAACGAGGTGGTGAGAATTGCGACGCACTCTATGACCGACGATGACATCTGCCGGGGAATTAAAATATTTTCAGAAACGGAGACAACTGCTATATCATGATATTTATGGGTTTGCGGCAAACTTTATTGCAGCCCGGTTTGTTGTAAGCTTATTTTGAGACCGGCGCACAGCACTGCGGCCCTCTGAAGCAGCTTGGCGGTGTCCACCATGCAGAGCACGTACTCATTCAGGAGCAGAGAAAATAGATGGAAATTACCTGCACAATTTGTGACATGAGTGAAAATGTACAATGTAAAATTAGAGTAAATAACTAGGATGTCGGGCACGCGGCTTCGCATAAGTATACATGAAAGCGTCAACTCATAGGGATGGTGGGATGTCCAACAAATGATTGCATCGAAGAACAACCAACGCAAGAAAAAGAAGACAGTACGTACATCCGCAAGAGCAAAGTGCTGTTTCTCGATAAAACCGCAATCAAGAACCTGTAAAGCACCAGTAGTGTATGTAAGCATGCACCATCCCAAGGACAGTTAGTTCATCGCAACATACCGAAGGACGCTGCCGAACGCAGAGTCAAGTCGCGTATAATTAATTGTATAATATAACTCATCCTCAGCAAATTCTCGACCAATAAATCGGCCTTGGTGCCGAGATCTTCTGCTGAGGAGGTCAAATTCTGACTGGGGGCTACTACTTCTTGGACCCAAACGACGAAGGTTTCCAGTTCTTTTTCATTCACCAACTGATCATTGAACCCATCTCTGAGTTTGCGGAGTATATGCACTCCTATATCACCGTACGTCCATTGTACCTGCAGGACCATACGGTGAGGAGAATCCAATCATGAATTAATGAAGATAAATATATTTTCAAATATCTCCTTTGCGTCCGACTACACGTCTACTCACGATGCTGAAAGCACGCGCAGTTGACCACTATGAAGATATGTGAATGGCTATACTTTCCACACTAGACTACGGAATGTTAAGGCAATGGTCTGTGATAACATGTGTGTGATCTAGTCACGACACTGGAAGCACGCGCAGTTGATCGCTATAAAGATACGTGAGTGTCTATACTTTCCAAACTAGACTACGGAATGCTAAGGCCATGGCCTGTGATGACATGTTCATGCTTGCATTTGTCGCGTATATCCAACTCAGGTGTAAGGCCTGCCAGTTACTCTTCTGTGATATTCATTCAGTTGATGTCATCTTTCCAAAATAAAAGTGTGCCAAGATTGAGCTTCTACTCAATCTACTATCATACCTTCGTACATAGACAAACTATATTTCGTATCCACACACGAAGCCACGTAAGGGACCACACCCCATACCTGCCCCTCTATATCCAAAAAATCGATTCTCCCCCAGTCCACAATCATCTGCTGTGTGGTATCGGGATTCGCAAGCACCGCTCTGGCCGCCTGTGCGAGATGATTGACACTGGTATGGCCCCTTATACATGATGACCAGACAGACGCCAGACCTATCCGCTTGGATATGAGTACCTCAGGCAGTCCTTTCATGGCGGCCAGCATCCACGTTTCCATGTGCTTAGCAAAGTCTCGTATGGAAGCCGCAAGCTTGGGGGTCACCGGCATGATGATGTTGGGAATCAGCAACGCGTTGATTTTCTGTGATTAAACAGAGCACACATTTAGGTAATAGAAAGCGCCACGTGGAAGCACATGTTTGTGGGGCGCCCGCCACGAACTCGTTTTCAAATTTGATAGGATGTTTGTAGCATCGTAGCCGGTTGGTATTCTTTAGTGACGACACCAGTGAGTGTAAAACTGTAGCTATGATTGGATAATTAATAGCTTGACAATTTATCTGTCACTGAACGTGCCATACTGACTCAAACACGTTGTTATTCGTATGAATCTCGCAAAGCACGGGCACAATTATAACAGAGAGGGAGACATGCAGTGTTCCAAAGGATCTGCAGGTTAGGTGGCGAGTTCAGGTGTTGAGCACAATCGCATCAGATTTCGTGCCGCCGACCATTCTACAGCACGATTACTTAAGAAGTGCAACACGACTCGCTCATGCTCGTACACAACGATGACGACGCAGCACGTGTTTATCAATTAAATTGACAAAGAATCACCTTGATTTGATACGTATACAGGCCCATGACCGACAGGGTCTTCTTAATAGCGCAGTATATACAAATTCAGAACACGGTTCTCTGTTGAACTAGGTTTGACTGACACTCACCTGAAAGAATATGAGATCATATAGTAGTATACTATCCATCACAGCCTCCACCGTCAGCACGGACAGTTGTTGCTCGGTTAGGTTTCTCCAGAACATGAGCCTGAAAGTAAAAGAATTTGCTCGTAAGTATAGAATCTCTCATCGATCGCTCGTTGATACATTAGTGGGGTCAGGATTTGTACAAAGGCAAAGGGTATCTGTCGAATGCATTTGTAGATCACACCATATGATAACATTCGTTACAGGGTATGGCATGCGAGGTACTTGACCATATTCTGCTGCACAGCTGCAACATCTACGTGATGATGATACTGATAATTGAAACGCACTCGCAATCGTAGTTCACAGGGTACTATTGGATAAGTGATAGAATCTTGTTTGCATCTGCACGTCAGGAGGGCAAAAAAAGCATTCGTTCTTGAGAACTTTTCGTAGTCCATCTTGCAGACGTGAACCACAATACAATCCTGCAGGTACTTGCAGACGTGAACCACAATACAATCCTGCAGGTACTTGCAGACGTGAACCACAATACAATCTTGCAGGTACTTCACAGGCATACAAAGAAACAACCTAAGCAACGCACACGCACACATGAGTATACAGTCACTTGCATATAAACCAATGCTGTGAACGTAACATCTGCGACACGCCTTACAGCCGCACAAAACAGCCGCACAAAACAGCTCGTCAATCCATTCTAAAATAACATCGCAAACACTCACTGTGGTGGCACGTGGACAACTCACCATAGCTGCTCTATGCTTTGAAAGCTGCACGCGGTAACCGCCTGTAAGGCATCGGTCAAGTGCGTTACGTACGCCTGTACCATCTGTTGGGCGTCATGAGAAATGTGTGTGCTCGGTAGGAGATCGTGCCACGGTATGGGCGGATAAGTGATGATAAAGGAAGCGCTCTCACTGGCAATCTGTTCGCCGAGTATGAAATACGTGAGTGAATGTATATTATTTATATATGCATCTACAATGTATGTTCAATCAAGTGCATATAAATATATATATATATATATATATATAGTGTGTGTGTGTGTGTGTGTGTGTGTGTGTGTGTGTGTGTGTGTGTGTGTGTGTGTGTGTGTGTGTGTGTGTGTGTGTGTGTGTG